CCAGCACTTTGGGAAGCTGAGGCAAGTGGATTGCCTGAACCTGCAGGTTCGAGACCTGCCCGGGCAACTTGGTGAGACCTCGCCTCTACAACAAATCAAATTAGCCGGGCATGGTAGCGCGCACCTGTGGTTCTGGCTCCTTGAAAGGCTGAGGCAAAAGGATCACTGGAGCCCAGCAGGTCGAGGCTGTGGTGGCCGGGAGCGAGACACTGCACTCCAGCCTGGGCATCAGAGTGAGACTCCAACTTAAAAAAAAAAAAAAAAAGTAAAGGAGAGAGGTCTGGACTCAGAAAAGATGAAGGGAAAGCCTGTGGTCCTGGGGTTTCCCCAACTCTGACACTGTGTGGTTGGAGACATCTGTGAACAATCAGTGGGCGGAACTCTCCTGGACCCCTGACCGCACCTGAGTGTTGCTCAGTCGAAGCTGCCTGGAGTTGGAACGTGTGTAGGTTGGGGGCAGTTGAACGTGCTGCCACAGTGCTGGGGGCCCAGTAACAGGAACATTTCTAGAGTTCACTTTTTATTTATTTATTTTTATTTTTTGAATTAGAGATAGGTTCTCACTACGTTGTCCAAGCTGGTCTGGAACTCCTGGCCTCAAGCAGTCCTCCTACCTCAGCCTCCTAAAGTGCTGGGATTACAGGCGTGAGCCACCATGCCTGGCAGAATTTACTCTTTAATGTTTTAATTAAAAAAAATTTTTTTTTAGTTTGAGCGTCACTCTGTTGCTCAGGCTGGAGTACAGTGGCACGCTAATAGCCACCGCAGCCTCGACCTGCTGGGCTCAGGCGATCCTTCCGCCTCAACCTTCCAAGTAGCTGGAACTATAGGCATGTGCCATCATGCCTGGCTAATTTTTTGATTTATTGTAGAGATAAGGTCAGTCTCCACAAGTTGCCCAGGCTGGTCTTGAACCCGTGGGCTCAGGCAATCCTCTCACCTCAGCCTCCCAAAGTGCTGGGATTATAGGCTGAGACACCATGCCTAGCAGAATTTACTTTTTTAAAAAACAGCTTTATTGAGAGGTGATTCACATGCTATATAATTCACCTATTCGTTTTTGTTTTGCTTTAGTTTTTTTGAGTTGGGGTCTCATTCTGTCACTCAGGCTGGAGTGCAGTGGCATAATCACAGCTCACTGCAGCCTTGACCTCTTGGGCTCAGGCGGGACTACGTGTGTGCACCACTACATCTGGCTAATTACTTATTTTTAGTAGAGATGCGGTCTCGAACTCCTGGACTCAAGGGATCCACCTACCTTGCCCTCTCAAAGTGCTGGGATTACAGGCATAAGACGTGCGACTGGCCCCATTTTGTTTTTAGTGTATTCACAGAGTTGTGCCACCATCACTTCAATCAATTTTAGAACTATTTATTTGTTTGTTTGTTTATTTACTGAGTCCTAGTCTCAGTCTGTCACCCAGGCTGGAATGCAGTGGCATGATTACAGCTCACTGCAGCCTCGACCTCCTAAGCTCAGGTGATCCCTCTGCCTCAGCCTCCTGAATAGCTGGGGCTACAGGCATGTGCCACCATGCCTGGCTAATTTTTAAAATTTTATCTCGTAGAGATGAGGCCTCACTATGTTGCCCAGGCTGGTCTCGAACCCCTGGCCTCATGCAATTCTCCTGTCTCGATGTTTCAAAGTGCTGGGGTTAGCCGGCTCGGTGGCTCAGCCTGTAATCCGGTGCCTTTGGGAGGTTGAGGTGAGTGGATTGCCTGAGCCCGCGGGTTTGAGACCCGCCTGGGCAGG